GTAAATGAGTCAAATTTTAAGTTTGAGCTTGACTTTCTTGAATTGTAAAGTATAAAACTTGAAGTTGACTTGATCAATTTAATTTTATTACTTTTTATCAAATTTATTGATTCAATAATAAATATTTTAATGTTAAAAAAATAGATAAAAGTAAGAAAAAGAATGAAAGAACTTTCGAACGTAAAAACTAATGATAATTTTTTTAACATAAATTGCATGCTTGAGATGGTTTGTTTGAGTTTTGAATTAAAATACACGCTTTGACAATGATCTTATATTTGGATTTCAGGGAACCTCTTATAACAAATATAATGTGGAGAAACTTGATCGTACAGGTAAGTTAGACTAGTTTATTTATGGAGAGACTTATTAAGGTAATCATGTAATTAGAAAAACGAGGCTCTTCAGGTCCTATTTTTTTGATGGGTATTATTTATCCTCGTAGGCTGTCTATCAAATCACAGTTCTTCTCGTTCTTAATTTCTGTGGTGAAAGAATTCTGCCCAAGCAAAGTACTAGAGCCGAAGCCTTTCAAGTGAAGAATACTTTAATATTCAATGCGTTCGTCCTGTGCCAAGTAAGTGGTTTTTAAAAAATGTAATGAGATATTTGGCCGGTCCTTGTTAATAACTTTTTTTTGGCACCTTATTAATTACTTTTTTTAATCTGTTATAATCTTAAATGACAGATAAAGAGAAACGAAGGATATATAATAGAATTCTCCCTCACTGTCTATTTTTTTGAATACTAATAGCATATATACAAGGATTATAGTGAAGAATAAAGAAGGTCATTGGACTTTGGTAGCTATGATTTTAGATAAAATGTGTTGGACTTTCAGTTGGTTTGCTCAAATTAAGTGCCATGTTCAAATATTGAATGTGTGGAACAGTAGACTGATTCATTTAAACCCCCATTTTCCCTTCTTCCCATTTTGAGAGAGAAGTGCAACTGCGCAACTATAAAAATATAGTTGAAAGAATTAATTACTAATCCATCTAATTCTTATCAAATAATTTTACACGTTTCAACATACAGATATTCAATGAATTCAATGCTCGGAAACCCGATGAAATGAATGTTTTCCGTGGAGTGACGAAGAACCGTCTTTTCATGGGCATTGTTGGAGTTACCTTTATACTTCAGGTGAATAGTCATCTCTGTTTTTTTGTGCTCTTATAAAAAGGATGGGAGGTAGTATTTCTTAACACTTGCTTGCTTTCTAACTCTACTTCAACTTTTTAGATAATAATAATCGAGTTCCTTGGAAAGTTCACCTCAACAGTGAAGCTTGATTGGAAGTTATGGCTTACTTCTCTTGTTATTGGCCTTGTCAGGTTAGTTCACTCAACTTCATTAGCATTTGATAATGGCAGTTCTTGGAGTATCAAGGAATAATGCATTTCACCTCTAATATGCTTTATTTTATAGTACTACCATTATCATTGAATTCTTGTTGTAAACATATTTTAGCTGCCTTTTATGATCAAACTGTAAAATTACTGCGTACTAGTAAGTCATATTATTTTCATACCAGAGCTTTCTCATTTTGGGCACAAGCCATATCTCATAGTTATTGGTTTTGCCATCTGACAGCTGGCCCCTTGCTATAGCCGGAAAATTCATTCCAGTTCCCAAAACACCATTGTCTCGTTACTTCTTGAAGCCACTCAGGCGATTAAGGAGGTCTCGTGGTGCTACACAACAATAGGCAGAGGTTTCCTGAAGGGGATAACCAGCAATTCATATTAAGCTAACACGTCACAAGTAACAATATATATTATTACTTGTCCATATTGCTGAATCATCCTTCAAGAATTCGAATGTAATGTATATTATTCAATAAATCCCATATTACTTGATTCCTTTTACTTGATAGTATTTCATTTTTTTTGTTTAAATGTACATTGTATGATTGTAACATTTCTAGATATTGTTAGAATTGTCACTTATCAAACTGACTTTCTAGCATTAACAAGGTTCAATTACCCCCAAATTTTTAAAAAAAATCGATTATTTTAGCCTTATATATTCTGCATGCATCTATTTAGTATGTGTTTGTTTAGATAATTTTTTTTTCAAAAGTATTTTTAGGAAATAAAATAAAATAAACTTAAATTATATATAAGTTAATTTGTAGAAGATTTTTTTTATAGTTTGCTTTTCAAGACATTTATTTTTTATTATTTTTTTTTTTCTCGTTTGTAAAGAAATTTATCAAAATAAACTCTATGAATAAATATATACAAATGATTTTAGAACACAGTTTTCAACATCCAACAGAAAAAAATGAAGCAAGAAATAAAAACCTTCCAAGACATTTTCACATCAAATATGTCCCACAAGCCATTCCAAACACGCTAAATGTGAAAAGTAATTAATCACGGTGATTGCTTGAATTCAGTTTGCAAGGGTTAATATTCCCGAAATTAGGCATATGTGAATTTTTTACTGTTCTAAATTTTTTTTAAAAAAAAATTACAAAACTAAACTTCAAACAAATTTATTTACATAAGTGAAACCTTCTACTGTACCCTCCGGAATTCGGTTCCCGGGATCTGAATTCTGTGAGGAGTATTCCGTTTTTTTTTCTTTCCTATGATTTGTTTTTTATTATATATATACGGCCCCTGAATGT